ATATATATATATATATATATATATATATATATATATATATATATATACACTTTATTCTACAAACATGTAGAATCTTTTAAGATAAAGAAAAATGTTAACTTTCGTTTTAATTCTTAATTTTGGTTGCTTATTCATAAACTCTCTTAATAGCGTTTTTTGTTTATTTGTGAAATGTAACACATAACATAATGTCTATATAAAGATACTATAATTAAAAAAGTATAACTGAGTAGACTGTTCATGTGATACATTGCAACAAATGTGATCTCTTAAACTTGTCAAAATTTAATTGTTAAATTAAATTAATGAGATTAAGTTCAGTTAATTTTAAAGATTTTATATGAAAATGCGAGAATTACAGTTTATTACTTTGTTTCTTAATAAGACGTATCTAAAAATATTATAAAATATAGTTTTACAAAACCGTTTCTTTTTTTGTAGATGCGTTTATTTAAATTAATTTTGAAATAATGTTATTTTATTTTTTAGTAAAATAAATTAATAAAAAAGGATTATTATAGAAATTAATCATTTTGTTTCATATCTGAATTGATGTTAAAAAGTGAGGAAGTGTTACATGTCATGGGAAATACGTAATAATATGTCAGAGAACTCTAAACATTTCTTTCATATCATATATCTTTTATTGTATTTATAAATTGTAAGAATAAATAAAATATTTGGCTTAAAATATAATGTATTAATTCCTAACTAATGTAAATCCACTATCGACAAAACGATACTGAATGATAAACAACTTATAAATCAGGAGAAGTAATTTACAATCATTAGTCGCTGTTTACTTCTACCAGCTGCAAGATCTGCATCAATTCTACGAACGTTTCTTTCAACCATATTTCTTTCGTTTGCAATATGATTTTCGTTATACATCCCAAAGTCTATATCTTCATTATCGTCATTTAGGTCCAGTGGCACATTTTGGTCAATGCACATATTGTGTAAAACAGCACACGTATATATAATTTTAGATGCTGTTGGTGGAGAGTAATGAAGTACTCGATGCTTCAAAAGACATCTGAACCGCATTTTCAGAAGTCCATTACATTGTTCTACCAATGCACGACATCGCATTTGTTTTCTATTATATAGAGCTTCTGGACTACCTTCAACAGCACCTATTATAGGAGTCATCATCCAAGGCCTGAGAGAATACCCTGAATCACCTGCAATCCAAAACATACAATGTAAAAATTTTTGATACTATAAATATATAGTATCAAAAACTTCTGTGCGTGTGTGCATGCGTGCATGAGTGCGTGCGTGTGTGTTTGTGTGTGTGTGTGTGTGTGTGTGTGTGCGCGCGCGCGCGCGCGTGCGTGTTTGCGTGTGTATATGCATAGGTATAGCTCATTAAACTCGATAAGAAAGTCCTACACCGTATTTTGCAATTTTTATAATAATTATTAAATAAATATAGCAAGGTAATGCCTGAAACTAACCGCACGTTTATATTCGCCGTACATACATAATCGTGAAACGGAAAGAACTTTTGTTTAGTTTAATTCTCCATATCTATTTACTTTACTTGTGTTTTTCTCTCAATTTCAAATTTAAACCATACTTTACGTTGCTCGCAATTTCTTTTAACATATATCTTACCTAATAAATGGAAATTTTTCTGTGGAAAGCGCCTATATAGATGAACCATAGCGGTTTTTGCATTGGAATTATTCCATATAAATGTATCGTGAATGCTCCCAGGATAACGTGCATTGATGTGCATAATTCTCAAGCGCCAGTCACATATCTGTAATAAATATATATACAATATACAAATAAAAGATACATATATTTAATGTGCTATATTTCATTTAAAACTTACCAATTGAGTATTTATTGAATGGTACCCCTTCCTATTTATGTATATATGTTCCGGATGAACATTATTATTCGCCGGTGGAAAAATAGCAACATGGGTACAATCAATGCAGCCTATTGTACCTGGGAATTCAAATTTTCTGTAGAATCTGAAATAATAAAACAGTAATATAATATTGATACTGTAATGTATGTATGTGTTTATTTTTTATGCTAAAACAAAAAAAATTAAATTCGAATCATACTGTGCTCGCAGTTCATTCAATTCTGCTAATGTACTAAGAAACTTAATCCACTCGTTCATAATTTCTTCTCTCGATACAACATTAATAATTTCATGGATGCAGCGAGAGACTGTTGGCTGACTAACACCCATGTAAATATTTTTACCAATGTTCAATTGATACGATCCACTCGCGAAAAAGCGTAATGCTGTTGTAACCTATATATTTTGTTTTTTTAGTTTAATGTGTGCATATCATACATATATATTTAAGTTGAGTTATACAATATTAATACATTACCTTTGTTGTCAAATTTATAGCAGATATTCTCGTTTGAGGAGCCAAATGTGGCTCAACAATTTCTATTAATTTTGTTGCAGCAGCTTTATTGAGTCGGAATAATTGCACAAATTCTTTGTTACTTAATTCGAAAGGATCTTCCCGGATGTGAAATCTTCGTCTTCTTCTCTCTGGAATGTCCACATTTTCCAAAGCGTTCATAATCGGTGCGTTTATTACAACGTCTTCCAAATCCATTTTTGCATAAATTATGCGTTTTTTGTGTTTCTTGAAATTTATAAGACAATTAATTTAGTGAATTTTCAATACTTCTATTTTAACACAAAATATGTAATATGCTTACCTAATAGGTTATGATACTTCAGATCAAGATGTGGACGTTCTTGTGTGAAGGCTTCTATTACGTCTTTCATCACTGAAACGTATACGTTTCTCACGAAACGAATGGTATAAACCATTCGTTGCATCGTATACGAAAAATTGCGTATACGTTGCTACTTGCGACAGTCAAGAATACTGGTCTAGGGATTTTCTATTGCGATCATTCGCAATTTGCTATTTGCGTATACGCAACTATTTCAAGAATAGGGCCCCAGGTACTTTGGGATCTCTCCCATCACTCTCCCGCCGGCCCTTGGTTTCGATGCCAAGGAGTTTCTTCTCCGTAGAACCTTCCATAGATGCTGTTTGCCCTCAAGCTGGGGTGATTTTATTTCGGGGTGACCTTCCCCTAGGCTGGTTGGCTCCCCGCCTCACGAGCCCAGCCTACCCGAGCCCTCGGGTATTTCTGGGTTCGCCACACCCGTATCAAAGACGCCCACCAGTGACCCCGAAGGACCCCCGGCGGCCGCCCCCGACCCCTGAGGCTTCGCCCGCCGATCGGCGCCAACAAAGGAGGCCCCGCCATCCCGCCCCCGCGCACGACAAGGGACCGGGACCCCCAGAGCCAACACCGCCGACGGGCACCGTGCGCACCGCCGGCTCTTACGTCCGACGGCGAGACACCACCGGCCCTTACCCTGAAACGTCAGGGCGGCCCGGTGGGTCTTCCTATCCTTGGACCGCCCGGCCCCGACCTCGGACTTTTTCGAGCGGCCCGGGCAGCTCGCGGTGAGCCCGCAACCCCAGGACCTGCCGGAGCACCGGCGTGCAATGGTCCTGAAGCTGTCCGCCATCCTGCCGGAGCACCGGCGTGCAATGGATGACGGAAGGCCCACCTCTTCTCGCCGGTGGGAGAATCATTATCCCCCTATCGGTCCCGGTCGACAGGGCGTTTGACTCGAAGTCGCCTTCCCCTACCGGCTGTTGGAGTCCGAGTCGCCAAAGCTTGTCAGACTCCTAAGCAGGGCAGCCGGACCCCCGGTTTGTATTCTAGGTTTTCCTTCTCATAGGACGGCCGGGTAACGGAGCCAGCCAAGCTGGCTCGTCCTTCACGGTCCCGTCCGACCGGGCGGACTTTTTATAGAGGCCGCCTATCTAGCGAGTCTTGAGAAGGACTCCCCGGTCCACGACAGGCCTCGCGGACTGCCATGGATTACGGTACTGGTGTGCTCGGGTACTCCGGGTTCGCAAAACCTGTAGTGGAGGGCTCCCCCGGGCCTCTAGAGGCTCCGGAACGGTGCCCCCACCCCCTGGAGGGAAAGAAGACCTCCGGTTTCCTACTTTCCGCGGCGTTGGTCGTACGTTGTCGACCTTAATATTTTTGGGTCCCCCAGGTGACACTAAACGCGTCTATACCCTTCGCTTTCGCGTATTACGCACCGTTCGCTATTCTCGCGGGCATTGACTCTAGGTGAATGTCGCTTCGACATTCGCGTCCTACGGGCTTTCTTGAAGCCGATAATGCCCTTGGTTGCTGTGTGGTTAGGATGTCCCGTTAGTCCGTTCGCGGGGCATTAGTCCGCCGTTGACGGGAGTGGGGGCGTTAGCTTTGTCGTGACTTCCCGAAGCCATTGGCATCGTTTGTCCTTGAAGAAAATGCTAGGTTTGCTATTTGGCGAACCCGGTGCGCTACCGATATAGGAATTTCGCTAGCGTGTGTCCCACGTATCTCGTAGTTTGCTCGCGTCGAGCAACTTTTAATTTTGCGTTTATCTCCAAAACTATGCTTTGTTTCGCGCAATGAGTCGCGTAATATTGTTCCCCGGTTCACGCTTAAACTATATCCGAAAGTGAATTTCCACTCTTGGGAACCTGTTCGTTTGAGTCCCAGGAGTGTGTCCATAACCTTAAAGTCTCGAATTTGCACTCGTTACGCGTTTACCTCCTGAGTGTTGTCGCGCGCTTGGGCGTGGGAGTAAAGGGTATGTTGTTACGAAATATAACTTTATTTGTAAATAAAAATTAAAAATTATAAGGCTCTCGTGATTAAATCGATTAAAGGGAAAGAGGCAGTAAGAGCCGGCACGGTAAATAGGGCGCAAGTTATATATATTTTTTATCGTCAATACATAAAAAAATTCGCGAACGTTTCGACCATTTTTGTGGTCATCTTCAGCGCAATGTGTAAAATAGAAACTCTATTGTAACGCGGTCATTAGGCTATTGTATACTCGCACGTCGCACGTTCCTTTTTCCATGCGGTCATTCCGGTGTGTGTGCGCTACTCCATAGGCAAGCAACCTTGAATCCCTCCCAAGTTAGAAGGCCAGGAGGACCATGTTGCATTTGGTACTTCATTATATGTTACACGATACCTGCGTACATACAAAGCGACACACTGATTTACGGTTCACATCGATATAAAATTGAACACTGTGAGTTACTTACAATGAAATCGTAAACGGTATAGCGCACAAAACGACAGATAACAGACGCAAGTTATCTTGATTGTTAGTTGACATTGCTTCGAGAGATAATACTTGATCGTAAAACGGTACAGCGCGCAGCGCACAGATAACGGACGCAAGTTGTCTCGACAATGTTTCAAGAGGTAATGACCGATCTAATATGTTTCGCTTGCCTCGAGGTTAAAAGATCGATGTATAAGAATTCGGTGAAAAACAAATAACGGTAATGCCAGTCAGAGACCTTGTAACACGGTAATCTATGTATAATACAGATTCACAATAATAAATAATAAATAAAGCGTGAAACGCGGAGCTCTCAAATTTTTGGAAGCCCCTCGATCACATCGAGATAGTTCTCGGGTAAATCCTCGGTGTCCGTCTGCATATTCAGACCATTCTTCTGTCTTTTAATACATATCATCTCAGATATTAACCGTTTACTAATATATGGTTCGCTGTCCAAAATTTCCACCGCATTCCACTCGAAATCATGACCAAACTCTAATCTATGCTCTGTGATTACTGAGCGACTGGTTGTGTTTCTTCTTACGTGGGC